AGAAGGGTGGTGTGAGATTTAATTTCTCAAGAAAACTAAAAAAGACACCAAGATCCCCAGTCTCCATCTCATGTGAGCCAAGACCTTCTTCGGGCGTAGAGGGTCAGTGCAGACAAAGGCGCTCTGATCACTTGCGATGGTTTATCGCTCTAATTATAGAAAGTATTTAGCTATTGTTCCTAATTGCTTGCTGCAGTTGGGTTTGAGCATTGTTGTTCTTTTGTTTTTTGTTTTTTACAAAAGTCTGGTTTCTGATGAGTTGTTCTTTTCTCTCTCTCTCTCTCTTTTCCCCTGCCTTGGTCCATTCCAGCCCCTGGCTGTTCCATTGGAGAACGGAAGGAGGTGTTGTGATATTTCTGGAGAAGCCACTTTATCTCACCTAGTTGTTTTCATGGCTTTCCCTCTCCTCCCCCTAGTTGCCTAATAGAGAGGGAGGGAATGAACATTTACTGAGCACCTATTTTGTATGTGCCAGGCATTGTACTAGCCCTCACACAGGTTGTCTTACTCAATCCTTGCAGCAAGGCTGAGAGGCAGATGCTATTACCCCCAATTTACAGATAAGGAATCTAAGGCTCAGGAGGGTCTCACAGCCAGTAAGTAGCTGACCTAGGATTTAAACCTAGTGAGTTGGAGGCAGGATCCAAATCCAGGTCTGTCTGACTCCATGTTGCCTCTCTCAAGGGAGGCTGAGAGCTTTTATAGATTTTGACTAATAGAACATTGGCCTTGATACTTCTACCACTATGGGAGATTGGGGGAATCCTGCTCCCTCACCCTGAAAGCGCCTATTTCTAGGTTCCCTGTTGGAGGTCTGGGATTCCTGTTGTTGGTTCATGACAGGTGGAGAGATTTTCCATATTATGGTAGCAATGACAAGGGGGAAAGCCACTTCACCACCAGGGGCCTAGGCCAGTCAGAATCCTACAGGAAACAGATGGTGGGTTCAAGGGTTTCAATGCAGTGATGAATGAACGGACTGTGTGGAAGAGGAATGGGCAATTAGGGAGCCCACAAGCGGGTGGGGAAACAGCTGGGCACTAACATAGCAGGAAGCCATCACCACCCCGAGGTCTAAAGGGGCATCATGTGGGAATGGTGTTTCTGAGCCCAGAAAAGCTGGGGCTAGGGCAGAGGTACCCCTCCAGGAGCTGTGGCAGGAGAGGAACCCAGCTACTGCTGCAATGCTGACAGGAAGGGCAGGTCACACATGAAGGGGTGTGTGTGTGTGTGTCTGTGAACAAACATCTGGACTTCTCTCTCCTTTGGCCCCCTTGTCTCCTGGTCATGGTCAAACCTAACTGGAAGACAGAAGGCCAGGGAGCCCAGGGGAAGCAAGCAGTACCAGTCATTGTCCTGGGGCACAGGGTAGGGCACAGAAGGGTGCAGAGAGCACTTGAGGATGATACTCAACACAGGGATTACTCATGTGTGCCCTTCATGCCAGTCCATAGGAGGTAGGGCACTGTTTACAGACTCAAAGAATAATGGAATGAGAGAGTTGGAAGGGCCCTTTGAGCTCTGCCCACAAACTCCCTTTACTTTGCAAAAGAGGATCCTGAGGCCCAGGGAGGGAAAATGACTGGTAGGTCCAAGGTCCAAGGTTGGCAGCCAGTTAGTAGCATAGGCAGGACTGGAATCTGGCTCACCGAACTTTCAGTCCATTCCACCTCTTTATTGGAGAGCTGTGGTCAATTAATGGTTGGTAATAAAAGATTACTGCTGAGCCAACTTGCTTATTTCCTTTTGAAATTGCTCAAAGACCTCAGGGCATAATTTACTTTGGTCCCAGATATTTGTCTCAAATGATTCCTTCTCTAAATACATCTATGATCAGAGTGGGCTGCCCAATCCAGAATGTGGGCTCTGGAGTCAGAATCATGGGGTAGAATCCCAGCTCTGCCCTCATGGAGTGATCTTGGACAAGTTACTTAACTCTCTGTGCCTCAGTTTGCTCAATTATAAAATGGGGATAATAAACATATCTATGTCATACCTCATGAGGATTATATGAGAAAAAGTATTTAAAGCACTTAAACAATAAGTACTTGATAAATGATAGCATATATATGTATTCATTTTCATATAAATATTTATGGGATATATATACCCAATAAATTGATTTAGAATTCTGGTTATAAATTCATAAGGTTTTTATTCCTTTTGAGATATATCAGCTGTTATTTTACAAGGATTTTCCCCCGCCCTTATGGCAGTTAAGAAAACTTAAGGGCATGTCAGTTATAGCTCAGTAAAGCTGAAAATGGCCCTCTGGAGTAGGAGGACCCTGACCTTCAGGCCTTAAGTCTGGGCTTGACTGCCTTTGTCCTGCTGGGACCTGCTCTGTTCTGGGCAGGCGCACACATAAGCTTCCTGGTTTCTAGCTCGTGCTTCCTTCTGCTGCTGCTTCCGTGGATGCAACCCCTGCAGGGTGTTGCTCACCTTTGAAATGCTGCTGGAACCAAATGCGGCTTTCTGGCTTCCCCTATCAGAAGTCTCAGGCTTCTCCCTCCCGCAAATAACACAGTTCCTTTGTTGCTTCTGCTGCAGCGGCCTTTTCTCCTTGCCTTAAGGAAGAATCTTGCTCTTTGGTTTCTCTTGCTTTTCCTCTGATTGGCTGCTATGTGATACTTTCTCCCCGATGGTCGAATTCCAGGACAAGATATGTATACAGCATCCTGCATGAAACCTCTCTTGGACAGCACTCCAAATACTCAGTACCAACCCCGGGCCTTGCTGCCCCAGAAACACAACTGGGACTCTGGCAGGTTCTGAAATAAGTTGCTTCCCTTTATAGCTTTGCTTGCTCAGTGCATTTTCTACTTAGCTTCTCTGGTCATATCCCATCTCAATTTAAAACATGTTTCTCAAACATGCCAAGCTCTTTCCTACTGCTGGGTCTTTGCACTTGCTGTTCCCTTTGCTTGGAACACACTTCCTCATCTTCCCCATGGCTGACTTCCTCATTCATCAGGTTAAGCAGCTTCAGAGAGGCCTTGTCTGACTCCTCTGTCCAGTTACTCTTTACCACACCCCCTGCTTCTTTCCTTCACACAGTTTATTACATCATGCAACTATCCTATTATTTCTTTGCTTGTCTATTGTCTGTCTCCTCCTACCCCACCCCAGCCAAATGACACTCTGCAAGGGCCAGGACCTTGCCTGTTTTGTTCACCATATATCCTGAGGAGTTCTTGAGTTTAATGCAGTCCAAATTTATCAAAGTTTTCTATACAGTTTGGTGTTATGTCGTTTAATAAATACTACCTTGAGATTACAGGATGTTTTCCTTGATTTTTTTTCAAAAGTTCTGATTTTGCTTTTTCCCTTTAAAGTCTTAAATCTACCTGGGATTAGGTTTTGTGTTTGGGTGAGTTAGGGACCTAACGGATAACTAGTTGTTTCAGCTCATAGACTGAATAGGTTATCTTCCTCCATTGCTCTATAACGCCAGCTCGGTCCTGTCAAGATTCCACACATGGGTGGACCTGTTTCCAGGCTCTCTAGGTTGTTTCATTTTCCTGTCTCTGTCTATCCCTATACTAATACCACATATCTGAATTTTTATAGTTTTAGAATAAATGGCTATATATGGAAGGGTGAGTCCTTGAAACATGTTTCTCTTCCTCAAGAATATTTTGGCTATGCTTTGCCTTTGTTTTTGCATATAAATTTTAGGTTAGCTTGTGAAGGTCCAGAAAAAGTCCTGTTGGCAGTTTCATTGGAATTGCATTGACTCAAAGGTTGGTCACACCCCCATCTGTTTCCCCAGGAAGTAGCTCAAGAGATGTTTGTGGAATGAATGGACGTCTGATGAATGTCTCCGAAGTACAGCTTACGAACAAATATTCGTTAGCTGTCAGTGAATGAATACATGGGGGCCAAAGACAATTAAGATTAATTAACACATTCTTACTATTTAGCAACTGCCAGTCAATTTCTTGCTCACCTACTCGTTCTAATAACACCCTATTTAAAACACACAACCCACAACGCCATCCTCGACTGAATACTTTCCTATTTGGAGACCCTCTTGAAAAACAAGTTTTCAAGAAGATTCCGTGTCCGAGGCCCAGGCAAAGAAAGAAAGCCACCTGACAGGTAAAGGGTCTGCGGCTCCCTTGCCTCCCCCAGTTCAGCGGTCCAGCGGGACCCGGGTGGTTCTTAGCCTGGGCTTCCTGCGGCTTAGGGAACCAAGAAGAACTACAAGTCCCGGCAGGCCGCGCGGCGCCCCGGCTCAACCAAACGCAATCCGAGGGTGGAGGAGAGCGACGTTCCCGAGCGCTCCCGTTACCCGGCTGCGGCGGGAGGCCGGGCGCCGCGGCTCGGCCGCCCTCAGGGTGAGTAGGGCGGCCCCTCGGAGGCTGGCGCAGAGCCGGGGCCGCCAGGGTCTCGCGGCTC